GAAAAAAAAAAAAAAAAAAAAAAAAATGTTAAAAATTTGAACGCGTGTCCTTTGTGCGTTCAACGATTCATATATATTTTAATACGCGTACGCGTATCCGATATACGTTGTTTACGGTTTACGCGCGTATTCCACGTTCGTAATTTATTGTATACACATCGACTAGTCCATTTTATTTATTTATATATTTATTTATTTATTTATTGACAATGTATTTTTGTTATTGTGTAATTATTATTCGTCCGTCCACGGCGACGACGTGCCGTCTCGCTCGCGACGGCAAAACTCGGTGTCATATAATATAGCTGATTATAATTTATAATATAATACGTGTATTATTAATGAAAAATACGAAATTTATATATTATTATGTAAATATAATTAATTATACAACCGTACATTAACTTTCTTGTAGAAATAATATTCAACAATGCCTGTATTGTATACCGGCGGTTCTTAAACTTTTGGTGCCCACGGATCCCTGACGAAAGACTTTTAGAAATCGCGGACCCCCTATGCCAATACATTTTCGTTCACGAAATATCTCGTGTTATCATAATCAATATTTACTGACAAGAGTCATCGCGGACCCCCGGGGGGCCGCGGACCACAGCCTAAGAACCGCTGTTGTATACGATTGTCACAGGAGCGGATCAATACCGTTGTTCGTGACGGTAGGGGGGGGGTACAAGTAAAAATAAATCCAGTATCTATAATAGGACTGAAAAATAATCGTGCTGTGAATGCCCCCCGCGGTGGTGTTGACGGACGCAGATAAGTCAAATTTACATCTATATATAGATAAAGATAATAATAAGATATATAATCGCTCTGAAATTGTCTATATAATATTGCATTATAGCTATAGATGCAGATCGATTAACCTAACTACCAAACCTATAATCAAACAAATGTTTAAACTATCTTCAATAATATGATAACAATTGTACACGTGAAATTCATCTAGAAGAATAAAAAAAGATACTTTTTTTGTTTTAATTGCCTATTGTTGCCTAACGTTATAACGGGAAGATAACAACTCAAGCGGTTAAAATAATTCCGTAAATCATGCAAACGATGACTGCTTGCAGCTATGAAGTTGCTATAAAAAAATAAAATAAGGTATCGTTAGATAACGATGAATTTTTAATTGAAAGTTCATACTTAAACAGTTATTGATTTAATATTTTCTACTACGGTGGTGTACCGTTTTTTTTTTTTTTTTTTTTTATAGCTATGTATAATATTATCTACATAGCTAATTACTTTTTACCTTGATAACCCTCAGATATAAAGATATCAAAATTATTATCTGTACATTATAAATCAGTGGTTCTTAATCTTCTTTTTTTTTGTTTCAGCGGCTCTTTACCGAGATAACTGACTGCTAACGATTTTATTGTTTTTTTTTTTTTTTTTTTATTTATCGGTCTTACCGATCATTATAGGAATCTTGGCCAACCCTGCCGGCCTTGTACACAACTATTCTGATTTCGCGTGCAATAACGTGTCACTGGTGCTCTTTTATTTTTCCATCATTCCGCATTCGAAAGCTCACCCCGTCACCCTAACGGCCCCCCTTAAAAACTACCGCTCCCCGGAGGGATCGAAATGTCCCGTACAGCGGACAGTACCGCTCACGTTAAGAATCGACGAACGATACGAAATATTATCCATGGACAAGTCGACACCGCGTAGTAAACGCCCGATAGTTTTCCGACGGTTTCTCCCCTATCGCCACCCCCATAGTGCGGGAGCTACACGCAATACGTTCACCATCGCCGTCAAAAACCTGTTACCCGTCCAGAATACCGGCCGGACGGAATTTACATTCCAATTGAACGGAATTTGCATTCCAACCATACAACAGTACATTAATTTAGCGAACCCACCATCCGAGTGTAACGCACGTACGGTTGAATCGAGGGAAATCGATAAATTTGTATATTATCGGGGTACCTCTATTTACACCGCGCGTCTTATGAGGGTAATGTTGTTTGTTTTTTTTTTTTTATCAAACCGACGTTTTCTGTAATAATGAATATATATTATTATTATCATATATTTATACACGCGCGTGTTAAAAAATACCATAGAGTTTTCGGCGAAAACTTTTCGTTTTTTTTAGAAAACGCGTGCGAAATCGGCCATAATGTCTCGCCCGAAAGTAATCGATGAAATTTTTTTTTTTTTTTCATAACTACCCACGCGCACGAACTTTTTCTCGGTACACAATTTTCGCGATAAATATTAAGAATTATTCCCGACGACGCATCGTAAATCATCGTATTAATGTATACCTATGTGTGTGTACCTATATTAAGTACACGGTTAATTCGTATTTTTATTTATTATTTTTTCGAAAAAAAAAAAAAATATTACCGTTCTGCACGTCTACGGCGAGACGAATATAGTCCGCGGTTATTACGCGTGTTTTTAAGATTTATATTGTAGAATCGCAATTTGGAGAGGAAAAAAACTAATAAACAAACCAATAGCAATAAAATGTTAAATTGTAAACGGAAAATAAGAAAAAAAAAAACCCGTAATTACAATACGACCGTCGCGACTGTCGTCGTGAAAAATCCGTGTACACGTGCAGTAACACAAAACAATATTGTCGCGACGACGAACGACGACGGTTTCTCGTTCTCGGATAGAAATCGCACAAAAACCGTCTGCGACCGAACGGAACACCTGAACGAAAAATAATTATTATTTTTTTTTTCCGTCGTCGCTTCTATAGAGGAAAAAAAAACAAAAAAATATAACTACACCGAATCGCGAACACGTTACGCCGTACATTATAATAATAATAACAATAATAATAATAATATTATGATATTTTTACTTTCCGTATTATATGCACAGTGCCGTACAGTCCGTTGTGGGTATATACGTATGTAGGGTACACCGCGAAAACCGCGAGAATAATGTAACGCGTGAGAAAAAAAGAAGAAAAAAACACCTCACAACATACTCAATATAAAAGATTTCCGTTTGAATAAAACGCATCGTTATTGTACACCGGGCTCTGTTCGTACATATTATTTCCCCTCATTGTGTACATTAATACGTCATCGCGCCGTCATAACGATGCATGGGCACGGGCGTATGGCAATGTGACTGTTACAATAGGAAAACCGAGGGACCGAAATCCGAGTGGTAATTTTTTATCGTTACTATTTATCGAGGTCACTGCGAAAATTACCTTGTAAATAACTTGCTCTAAAGATCAGCCCAGTCCTGTACAATCTGTCTTTTAGATTCTGCGCGGCGCTTGATTTTTGATTTTTGATTTTTTTTTTTTTTTCTGTATACAACTTTTCTACCAGATGTGTTGGTCCGATTTTCGCGTGCGAGGTGGTTTTCATGATCCACGCTGCTGGAAAGAAACGTAGGAAAAACGGGAAAAATTTACGAAATTCATTACTATCAAACCGTAAATATCACATACTGTAGCAATGTATGTTCACCGAACCCCGCTCACGATTGTTTTTCGTTAGCAACGATTAATCGTCGTTGCGTACAGATATGCATTAAATTTCCCCTCTACCATCCCAACTTTTCTCCCGCAACAATGGCGGCCCGCCCGCCGTGTGAAGTGTGTCCGTTTGTTGTTTTTTTTTTTATCTGTCCCGTGTGTACATATTTGTAAGCGTTAGTATAAAATAGTGAGTAAAACCGAGTAAAAACCGAATAAAAACGCAACGCGCGACGCGTTACACGTTTGCGCGCACGTGAGTCAGCCTCGTACCTGCGCGCATTAAAAACGCCGGTAGATGTTATGAATATGCGGGAGAAAGTACCTACCTGTAATAATTTACGAGTTTCCCAAGTTTCACTATAATAACGTACGTGTAGAACCACGGCTATCGCGGCGGATAAAACGGCACGCGCGAAGTTGATCCCAAATTAAAACGAAAACAAAACGAAAAAAAAAAAAAAACCGCGTTGAATCGATACCGGTGTGTTACAACGCTATCGCACAATACGGTTCTGTAAATCGTCCGGAAACATAATCCAGTGACTGCTCGTGAGCCGTATTGTCGGGTGTTTGTTGTAATCTGTGACCGTCGAATGGTTATCGAAGGTCATTTTGAACAATCCAAAAGTATACACGAGTATTTATTTATTTTTTTTTTTTCAAAACCAATCGACGCCGCGCCGGTATGTTGAACGAAATTCGTTTTGAAGACTTCGAAATATCGCGGTCATAATAAAGTAAATTCGTATACTTATTGTAATGAAAAAATTCTAGACGAGGCAGCGTGTCGCTCACCCAGCGGCGCAACCGCCGGCGGGGACGGGATTGTCGATCACTGGGGGCCCGCGGCCTGCATGGGCCAACGAATAACAGTCTATTTCCGTATTCGATAACTTGTATGAAAATCATGTTTTAAAGCACGATTCGAATTGCACAAAACACGGACAACAGAGGACATTAGTGACAACGAGCAGACGAAAAAAAAAATAAAAATATAATCGGCAATGGGCGTATAATGAAGATACAAAAAAAAAAAATAATAATACGACCCCACGTTGTTGTGCATGTATTGTCTGCTGGGTGTCTAAGAGCACGTCCAACCATTTTCTAACGCCTCGCTCTAATCGCATCCCCGAATGTACGTTTTTCTTTTACAGTTCTAAGTACCTCCTCGTTTTTTGGTCCTCTCTATCCAACAAATTTTTTCTACACATTTATTGCATTAATAATCCGTTCCTTTATTATTATATCTTTGGGTAAACGATGAAAGGTTTTATTTGTGTTTAGAGGGTTGGGAATGTTGAGTATAAAGTCTCCCGCTGGTCTCAGCCAATCATCTTGTACGTCTATTTTCGTCTCCCGATTCAAACACTGAGCACTTTTACTATATCCATCTCTAA